TATCCTCGGCTACTGGACTTTCATGAAGGTATACTAAATCTATTACAAGCGCTAATTCAAATATCAAAGACTGTAATACCATTCCTAGATTTATTTATGCTAGGTTGTCATATGCCTGCTGGTATTTTGGACTTTTTAAAAATAGGCACTAGTGGGTTGCTGGTATTTATTTTTTTTTTGTGGCATGAGACAACATAAAATTTCTTTATCATTCTCTATTGCAAAGGAAATGAGTGGGATGAATTAGACATCATGCACTATAAATACATTTTACTATCCCCCAGCCTATCCATTTACAAAGAATTTACATTCAGTGCAAAAACAGTGTTGGGTGTGCCACTAAAATTGTTACTTTGCTTATATCTTTTGCTCAAATTAAACATATCTTTAGGTTGGATTACAGGACATATTTTCTCAGCATCTAATTCAGCAGTTTTCACAGCTCTTGAACTGAGAAATGTAGGATCCTCTCAGTGTGGCATTTTTTTTAACCTCCAGCATTTGAAATCCATCACTTTTGCCCTAGATGGAAAGTGGAAGTATCAGAAGAGATGGAATGTTGCATCACATCTAATACCCTGCTGTAATACAAAACATCTCTGGCCAATAATATCTCCAATAGTTAAGTCAAACAATTTATATGGAGTTAAATAAGGATCTTCCCAAAGTATTCCTTCTCTCTGTAGCTAGTGGAAAAGTCCAAGGGAAACCTCTAATGATACTTCCATTTTTCTTCTTTGAAAGTAGTTGAATCATGTAGAACAAACTGTCTACATAACTTTCTTAGATGCAGGAGGTTTGCATAGTCCAAACTATAGTTGTACAAGTATTTGCTTCTGTTTAACAGCGTAAAATCCTTAATCCACGTGTTGGTCTTCCTGAAAGCCAATTCAAATATACATAATTGAGGTAGCATAGACCTCACATGTGGGCCTACCACCTCAAATTTCACACAAGAATTTTCCCCCCAATATCAAGATAAAAGCCATATTCAATTTGTTCTTCATACAGGACAGTCTTTTTTTCCTTTTCCTTTCTTTTTCTTTTCTTTTTTCACTTTAGAGGCAGGACAATCACGTAAGAACACTTTTGCTTCCTCTGTTTTTCAGTAATCTGAGTAACTAGCTCTATATCATACAGAAATAGTCCAATATCATGTTTGTTAATTTGCCACATCAAAGTAAAACTTCAGTAGTGAGTTGTTCTCCAAATGGGTGCATTTTCTCTGCAGGATCTACTACCTAATAACAAACCACTGTTGTGCTTTAGCTATGGGCGCAAATTTGCTATAGATTATTCCTCTCATTATAGAGCACCTATACTACACATTTGCATTTGTTTATGAGGGAAATATACAGGAGCTGCAAATATAAGCAGCATGCAAAGAATTCCTTTCCTTCATGCTTGGGTCAGTCTTGCTGAATTTGTGATTTTCCTTTTCACTGATTCACTCTCTTCAATGCCCTATTCGGTTTCAACTTTGGTTCGCCATGTGGTATGGTGAGGGAGAATGGGGAGGGTGGTGTACAAACAAACATCCGCAGAAGCTCAGAGTCATCATGACTGCACGTGTGACATAGTGGAGAGAAGGTTGGACTGGGGCTTTGGAGATCCAGGTTGTAGTCCCCGCTCAGCCATGGAACTCACAAAATGGCTTTGGGCCAGTCACTGACTTCCAGCCTAACCTACCAGAGGGTTTTATTGTGAAGAATGGAGAGGAGAACCCTGTAAGTTGTGTTGGGTTTCTTGTGAGTGGATGAGGGATGTAGGCTATAAACGTAATAATGCTAATAGTAATAATAGATCTAGCCATATGTTTCTTTTCTTTTCTTTTCTTTTCTTTTCTTTTCTTTTCTTTTCTTTTCTTTTCTTTTCTTAATTGTAGGAATAACATCATAGTTTTACTGGTTGAGGCTTTACTGGTTCAAGAGAAGACAGATGACATGCATGACTAGATGCATATGATGTAGGAATCCATGTATAACTTCATTGACTCTGTTAAGCCTTTCCACACAACTATCATACAAATCAATTTCAGACTGCACAGAGTCTGGACTGAGTCAAGGAATCTGAGTGGAGGATCCTCTTTGATCCTATGGGTGAAACAAGACTGTTTTGCAACTAAAGTGCAAGTTCTTTTAAAAATGTAAATGGCATCATCTGGGGTGACCTGGACATTAATGGGATCAGAGCAGGCGTGAAACAGGGATTTAACCCTTCCCACCCCTACTGTATTCCTGACAGAAGTCTCTCTTCTGACATTAGTATTTGCTTTGGTGGTGGCAGCTGTAGGATCTTGATTAATTCCATGGATTATTTGTAGCTTGGCCCTGTTACCTGTCTTCTTCTGTAAAGGAAGAAAGGAAAAGGAAGGGCCTGACCTTCTGGGGGTCTGGCAGGGTAACACTACCTAGGTTATTTCAGGAAAGAAGGAAAAATGAAGGAACAGGACAAAGCCTTCATTTTTCTGGCGATTCACCAGACTCCAGAGCACTTTTGTCCACCAACTTCTTTCCTGGAAAACTGGGATGAAAGAATGGGGACAAAAGGCTTCAGTGTTTGTACTCCACAAAAGCTTCAATTTGACTGGATCATGTTTCTGCTCCTCTTTGAAAGTAAGAAGTAAATGTCTGCTCAGTTGAAAATAAGACTTGTTACTATATTTGATCCCAGAATTTAATGCTTAAAAGCCAATGCAAATGCTTTGTCCCTTTTTCCATAAGCCCATCACATAATCTGAAATTTATAAAAGATATAAAAGGAATTGTACAGTTCTAAAAATAAAAATGAGTTTCCATAATTTAATATTCAGCCTAGTACCATGATGTATATTTTGTTAAAGAATATTGAAACTGCTTTCAAAGTAATGTTGTTTTGTTTTGCTTTGTTCCAAGTTATGTTCTAGTGCTTATCTAATAACAATCTTTTGATTAATAGCAATCATTTGGCAGAATGTTATTAGTATATGTGAAATTTAAAGAACTTTTACCAATGGATGGGAAAAAAATCCATCCTAGGTGTAATTAAAAGTTAGATTTAAAATGTAAATCTAAAAAGATAGATTTAGACTATAAAAGTTAGATTTAGAATGCATTCCTTCTTGGACATTGTCATTTGCACAACAGTAAAGGAAATTTTCCAAATTTCATCCATTTAACATTTATGAATTTCTTTAAAAACATCTGTTCATTCTTGCCATTGGGGATCTATTTAGCTCCAGCCACTAACAAAACAGTCCCATAAAATAATTCAGACAAATGTCAAGCATGCAGTCTTAAGTTCCTTTTCCTGACAGTATACACTTTTATTTCTTTTGGACATTTTGCTACCCCGAGATACATTGGTTAGCTTGGGGTAGGAAAATGTTTCCAAAAACATTTGTGTATATTTTTACTTCTTCTGTCAGTGAAATATAGGACCTACAAGCTGGCTTTAAGAACATTTATTAGGAAGTCAGTTAAATTGTTTTCAAGGGTTTCCTCTTGTGTTGCTTTCAAATGCTGGACCGCACTTTCCATTGAGTTGTGACTTGATTCTACTTTTTTGGCATCCGTTGTTGGAATCATTTTAACTTAGTTTTAAAAGATTTGTTTTGGTATGTTGCTTTTACTGCTGCACTGTGTTTTGTCAGATTATGGATTTATGTTTCATAAACCACCTTCCTTGTATCAGAAAAGTTGTATACAAATGCTATAAATAAATAGAAAAGACAGGGAATGATCCTGGGGCCCCTAGACGTTGTCTTTGTGGCTTCCTGGCTCAAAGCGGGAGGCAGGGCTTGGATCCTGGAGTTGAGAATTGCCCCTCGCTTGCTTGCAGCCAGCACTGAAAGAACTGCTCCTACTGGAGTCTGAGCTCAGGAAAGCCAATTCAGAGTGTGGTCAAGGGGGGCATTTTGGGGGCGATGAGAAGCCTGAAACTGCTGCAGCCTCCTTCCCACCTCCCCTGAGATGTTGTTGTCAGATGGCTGGAAATGGCTACCTCATGCAAATGCAGAGTAGAAGAGCAGTGTGATGAAATTCTGCACTGGAGGAGTGTTAGCCTCTGAGTTTGGTAGCTTACACTCAGCTCCAGAAGATTTTACCCTTAGTATATTAGGTCATTAATTCACTTCTCATAATTCCTATAGGGTTCAGCACACGTAATCTTCTCCTGTCTGTGCCCAGTAGCCTCTGGGGCCTTGAAGATCATTGTACTCAGTTGTGTGATTTGGAGTATCTGGCTTCAAAGCACAACATGTAAGCTAAGTGCCAGGAGCTAGTGACCTGTCAAGTGAAAAGAAGGCCTAGCCTGCTGACTCTTACACTTCTGCATGCTATAAAGTGTGATAAGATATTTCTGTATCTGGAATAGAAATCCCATCATTGGCGAAGGCTTATTACTTGTGACATGGCTGGCAATCAACAAACTGCTTATTCTAGAGCAGTATTGAAGCATTGCTGGAACATCAGTGGGAGCTTGTTGCGTCATTTGTGGATTGCATCATTATGAAGTAATTTGTGTGAAGTTCCTTTTTGTAACATTAGCCTAAAATGTGTCCTGTGTTTATTGCACATGTCATTGGCAGTGCCCTGAATTTCTAGAAAGCATGCTTCCTCATCTGAAACAGTTACATTTTCAGAATCAAGGCCAAAAGTAAACATTTGCTAATATAATTTAAAGGATACATAAAAGTGTAGTTAGTTAGTCTGTCAATATGGCACTTATCTAAAGACATTTGGGACTCCCCATTTAATAGATTTTAAAAATACAATTGAATTAAAAATTGTAGCAAGGAACATCAAAGAATATGATACTATTATGTATGTATAAACTTGTTGGCAGTAGAGTTTTAGTCTAGAATGCTGTGAATTAAGTTTGCAAAAGAATAATTTTAGTAATTACAAGTAGAAATGCAGTTGTAGTAAGTACTGTATCTTCACTGGATTTCATTCTTCTATCCCTTTGTGACTTTGCATAGCAAGTCATATATAATTTCTTTCCTCCATGCCTTTATAAGACAGTCAGTATTTGTATACTGAGTTGTACCACAGTAATTGAAAACCAGAAGTAGTAAAGCACTGGAAACCTTAATCTTTTTTTTGGTGAATGTCCTCATGCCTTACGATCTTGTAGATGACCCAATAAAAAATGTTGAATATCAGAAAAGCTAATGGAAAACAGGCTCGGGAGATGGTGTCAATTTTCTTGGCTCGATCAATGAATACCTTCCTCATTTCTTCAGGGGTTTTTGGTACAGGCTGAACTGGATTATTTGGCCCCTTTGGAGCCACTCCATCCTTTGCTTGTATACATGGCGGACCCATTCCGTAGCCTGTGAAGCTGAACCGATTCTCCCTTATGTCATCATCCTGTTAAAAAACAAACAAAAACCATGAAAGTTCTTCATCTGGTGAGTCTAAAACCCCACATCTTTATGCCAAACCCTGTATTCCAAAATATTAGCTATAACCCAGCAACCACGGTGTGGCTTCTCAATATCTTTTCTTCCATTTTGAACACAATTCTGCAGTCATAAAAACCTATTGACCACTGTCTACCTAAAAACTGTGAAACTGTAATGTCTGCCTTTGCCATATGATGGCCAAGGAGTATCACAAACCACCCTTAGGGTGTATTCACATGTGCATCTAGAAAGAACCTTATTGGGTACAGCTCGGCAGGACGTAGAATGGGGTTACTCAATGCATTGAAAGAACAATATACTAAGATTGCTCCTCTTCCAATGAGCATGAAGACTGAGCTTGCATTGGAACCATGCTGCTAGCTGGATATATTAAAGTGCCATCAATCATACAATAGATGCCCCATTAAGTTAAAAAAAGAATGGAATGTTGCTGGCACATTTGAAACCAAAAATTGTATATATGCCAGATAGCACTTTAAAAGGGCACAATAATAAAGGAAACTGTGTGTGTTGAAATAGGAAAACTATGAAATAAACTATGAAACTATTTCAACATCCCTGGATATGTGTAATGTCAAAGCCTGAAGTATTATAGGAAATATGGCACTAAAAGACCAGAAATCTTTGAATGAAAAGTGTAGTTTCATATATATATTATTGAGCAAGACAGGCCCTTTGGCCCTTTGAAAAAGCTTTTGGGGGCAGAGCTAAAAGTCAAATCCTGGAAAAACGTCTGCGTGCTTATTGTAATACCTATTAGAAAATCTGTCATTTGGAACTGATAGGGGAAACTTGCCCATTTTGGCATACATTTATCTTATCATTCTCTTATTTGAGTCTTGTACTGTCAGTGTCATTGTCAACTGTTGTTTCCTCACCATTTGTTCTCATCATGTGAAATATTAGATAGATATTTACAAATAGATGAGTCCTCTGTAAGTTCCTCTTATAGAAAAAAGCTGATCTGCAAGAGCACTAATTTTCCTTGTAGAGAGGAGAGGGGAAACAAAACTTAACTTGTGTGTTTAGTGTATAAATTCAATTCAGTGTTTTCCATGTGTTTCAATGGAGTAGATTAAGAATAGATTAAAGGACAAGTCTTACATTAATTTTGCCGTGAGATCACAGGAGAGCATTTGTCATATTTTTTGTTTCTTTGTTTAATTTCAATGCACCTTTATGTGATGGGATCTGGTATTTGTCCTGGTATTTAGCCTCATTAACAAGTAAAGCTAGGTCCAGTGTATTAAATAAAACTTCTGATGAGATCACATACCTATCAAATGAGACTGAAATCTCACCCACTATTGAACTTATCATATTCACTATGCAATCCTATACAGTGGCGTTTACTCCTAGGGTAGTGGGTAAACAATTAAATTTTAAAAGGTAATGTATGATTATATCAAATGATATGTAACAGTTAAATATATTTTGGCAGGATTAGGAACAAAAGAAAGGGGAACAGTCTAACTTTCTCTAAACTGCATGCTTAGTTTACAGCTGAAATTAAAACTGTTTTATGTAATGTATACAGAATAATTCAACAATAGCAGAAAATTGCTTTCAAATCCTGCAGATGGAGCCAAATCATGTAAAACAGTGTAAACCAAATAACTGATATCTACTGCTAACTGTGTTCAAAAACATATACATACTCTTCGAATGGTTTTGCTGCAGCTGTTGCTGCACCCTGGACAAACAAAAAGAAATGAAAAGTGAATACAACATCAAGAAATGAATAAGCTATGAATTACTCACAAATGAAGATTACAAAAGTACAACATGATGTAAGTAAGATGAAAGTGCTAATTGATATGAAAATTATAATATTTAAAATTCAAGGGGAAGAAAAATGTCCTACAACTCTCAACATACTCCAGCTGGGAGTTTGAGTTTTTTTCTGTCTAAATGATCATAGATTGTACTCTATATTAAAACAAGGCCTAATCTTGCTTTTATTTCAGTGTCTGTGGAATAACATCCTCATTGTTGTTATTCATAGTCTAGACTAAATGAATGAACATGGAGAAGAAATGGCAAAAATATTGACCCTACTGATTCAAAATCTACGTTAGATCGTTTAGGAATGCATAGCAGTGTGATTCATTTTACCATATGACTAAAGCTAGTACCATTCTGAATAGAATTTAGTAATTGCAAAACTAAGCTCAAAAAAGCCAGTCTATTCATAAGTGCTCTTTATTATTATTAATTAAACAGTTCCTTCTTAATCACAACATTTGATCTAAACATGTTGGATGAAGTCAATTCTGGATCTAGACTCCACCAAAACTTCTCAATTTGAATTGGCATCTAGTAACATTTTATAATGGCAACTTAAAGCTATAGAATGCTATTCTGTGCCTACCCATCCCAAATAGTTGTTAGATCAGTGGTGATGAGAAAGAAGATCTTAGATGTTTTGGATTTCAACTTTGTTCCTGGCAATTACTTATGGTACTAGGACCACCTGGAATGTCTGGAGATTCACTTTCTTCCACCCCTGTGTTATATCAAGGCATATGTATATATGTGCTAGATGTTTTGGTCACCATTTTGCTTGCGTATCTGGAAACTAGAATAAATTTGAATCCTCCATATCCAAAACTGATTTGAATATATTCAGGGATCACTCACTAATCTACCTTTTCCATATCAGAGGGATAAAAACGGCAGAGATTTCTGCAGAAACGTGGTGGAAGTGATTATGAGCTCAGAACTCTTTCTACACTGAGGAGAAGATCTGATTTATCCTTTGGCCCCAGAATGCCTTCTGCGTTGTAAGAAACCTAACTATTAACATGATTTTAGATTATTTTTCCAGAAACAGATCTTTGCATATTTTATTGACATGAATCAGTTATGATTAAAGAAGCACTGCCCATTTTTCTTTAAAAAAGAATATAGTTTTTTGAAAGGTTTGGAAGTAATGAGTTGGGCTGCTGACTTTGCATGTCACCATTGCTGTGCAAAATATCCAGCTATAAAATAAGTAAAGGAATTAATTTCCTTTAGCTTCTTGACCATGGTAGTTTTGGTTTTATGCATACTTTGATCATTTATTCTTCTTTGGAATAACATATAGCCACTTTAGTCAGTACATGAAATTACAGTGAGAAGATAGACTGTGAACTTTTCTGCAGTTTATGATTATAAACATTACTTTGCAGTGTGGAGTTTTTCCACAGGAAGTTCTTGATCTTCTCATCTACTTTTAGCTTCATGAAAGCACTGAGATCAGAGCTCTATACAAAAAGTTCTTCCTTTTCTATTTTTCTGCTACACAATGTCTAGGTGACACTGTACTATAACAGAATTGTGCAAATACAATAGGAGAAAAAGTGCAGTTTTCTATGTTGGAATTCCATCCTTCATTTCCCCCATTATTATTTTTTAAGTAGGGGAAATGTTTTTGGAAAAAAAGAAGAGAAAATGGAGGATTATTACATCATCTAAAGAACTCCTAACCAACAATAACTTTATCAACAGCACAAAACACATGCCTTATTTAGAAAAGCCACCATGCTCTGTATTTTGCAGAAAGCATTTTGGCAATATCTATATAAAATAAGCATGCCTATGAATGTTTTAAAAGCTTACCTGGTGATATATTGTTTCCATTACATTTGACAAGTGAAAACTCTTAAAAACAGTAGTCATGTGCCTCAGGTAGCTCAGAGGACATGTTGGGCCAAAACAGACATTCTTGTAGAACTGTGGCATGGGGGCCTGATGCAGATCTTTAAAGATCTTCATAACCCTGTGGTAGAGTCCGATCAATCTTTACTGGGTTCCCAAATAATATAATGTATCTACAACTCTAATGCAAAAAGATCACTGCTAGACTGAGATTTAATTTATGCCTGTTGTGGTCCACATTGATGGTCCCAAAGATTTGGGACCTTTGAACTGGGCTGTATTTCCTTCTGTTTCTTCTAATTGCCAGAGATTTCTTCTAGACTTCGTAGACAAGCACTGGTACTGGCAGAGCCAGAAACACCTTCTTTAGTACTTCTACAGTGTTTAAAGATGGCTCAGTCAGCTTCCCCATCATCTGCAGTAGCTTTTGAGGAATGCATGTGAATCTTTACAAGAAGGGGCACAACGAGAGTGAGCCAGGCCACATTATGTCCTAATACAATCAACATGCGTGGAGCATAATCATGCCCCTGTCAGGTAAGTGAAGTTGGAGACATCATCAGCTGCAGCAGCAAATGCGAGGAGATTGATTTTCTGGACTCTGGGACAGTTCACATTAACTCTTATTTTTCTATGCATTTAGTGAGAGCCCGGTACTGCTTTTAGATTGCATCAATCCCAGAGTCTACAATTCTGCTCATGTAACCTTGAAAAGGTGTATCTTGGAATAGGTACAGAAAAGGTCAACAGAAATTGTCAAAATGCTGGATCAACTCCCCTATGAGAAAAATTTGCAATGTTTGGGGCTGTTTGGCTTTGAAAGTAGGCTAGTAAGAAAAGACACAATAAAAGTATACAACATGATGAATGATGTGGAAGTTTTCCTCCCTCTGATGGTAATTATAGACTAGGGGGCATAACTCAGTGGTTCAGTAATTATTTTGCATGAAGGAGGTTCCAGGTTCAACCTCTGGCATCTCCTGGAATGACTGAAAGGTCTCTGCATGAAAATGGGGTGCTGCTGTCAGTGTTGACAGCACTGGACTAGACGGACCACTGGTCAGTTTCAATATAAGGCAGCTTCACAGGTTCCTATTGTTTTTATGAATGCAGTGGAGTGATCCCATAAAACTAAATGGTAAGAAATTCAGTTGAGTTCTCTTAACCCAAAACAAAGTTAAATTTCACAGATTATGTAACTGCAATAGGATGTAGGGATGGCTGTAAACTGACATGTGAAAATCAGGAATAAAGATTCATGGATGATAACTCTATCAATGGCTACTAGTGATGGCAGTTATA